TCTGATGTCTTGACTGCTGCTTCCATTTGTGTTGATTGTAGAGGCAAGTAATATGACATCCTTAACAAATTCAATCTTTTCTCCACCCACCATGAAGTTGTTTATTGGATCAGTTGTGAGGATTTATGTTTTCTTTATATTGATGTGTAATCCATACTGCACACGGTAGTCTTTAATCTTCATCAGTCTCACTTTCAGCAAGCAAAGTTGTGTCCTTCGTGTATCACAGGTTGTTAATGAGTCTTCCTCCAATTCTGATGCCACATTCTTCTCATATAATCCAAATTCTTAGATTATTTGCTCAGCATACAAATTGAATCAGTGTGGTGAAAGGGTACAACCGTGACACACTCCCTTCTTGATTTTGAATCATGTAGTATCTTCTTCTTCTGTTCGAACAATAACCTCCTGATTTATGTACAGGTTCTTCATGAATACAATCAACTATTCTGGAATTCCCACTCTTCTCAATGTTTTCTACAATTTATTATGATCCACACAAAGACAAAATGCCTTTGCATAGTCAATAAAACACAGGTAAACTTCTTTCTGGCTTTCTTTGCTTTGAAACAAGATCCAAGTGACATCAGCAATGATATCCCTCATTCCACATCACCATCTGAATCCAGCTTGCATTTCTGTATGTTCTCTGTCAATATGCTTCTGGTACCATTTTTGAATTATCTTCAGTAATATTTTAGTTGCATGCAATAGTAATGCTATTGTTTGATAATTTCCACATTCTGTGGGATCACCTTTATTTGGAATGGGTACAAATATGAATCTCTTCCAGTCAGTTACCCAGTAGCTCTCTTCCAATTCTCTTGGTATAGCCGAGTGAGTGCCTCCAGCAGGGTATCCATTTGTTGAAACATCCTAATGGGGATTCCATACAGTTCCTGAAGCCTTGTCCTTCCCCAATTCCTTCAGTGTGGCTTTGACTTCCTCCTTCAATACCAATGGTTCTTGAACATATGCAACCTGCTGAAATGCATGAAGATCATCCTGTTCTTTTTGGAACAGTGACTCTGTAATCCTTCCATCTTCTTTTGATGTTTTTCATCATTCAATATTTTCCCATAGAATCTTTCTATATTGAAACTTGAGGCTTAATTTTTTTTT